TAATCCTATCGATCTCTATTCCAAAGGTTAGGGCGTTTCTTATCTCCATACCAGGGAGTAAAGATTATGTAGCTTAAGCATGATTGTTCGTAGTTAAAGTGATTAATTACCCACCTGGCACTTTAGTTAAGAGGTTTTATTCCCTCCCTAACTTCAGGGGAAAATCCCTACCTGGGGAAACAACCTTTCTCAGAGAGGTGACCTTGGTTAAAACACATAGTGCCAAGAAGGTGAGCAAACATATTAAGAACAGTATGCCATATATGCCAGGTCCCTTGAAACAGCAAGGATGGACCGGCTCCCGGCAATTAACATGGTACATTCATGTGATGTACATTTTACCTCAATTTAAAAAATTCATAAAAACGGCAAGCAAACTAACACACACAGAACATGTATTTAAATATAGCCATATTAACAGCCACTATCATAGCCATAAGACAGCATGGTCAGGCGTGGGGAAGGTGTGCTTGATGCTTAACACTTGCTTGGACAGGGTTACTGAGGCTAATTTATTTGCAGGAGCAAATGGTGCCTGAATCTTGACAGTGTTCTGATTTTTTTAAAAAGGAGGCGGCCGCCTTGTAAGTGGCTCACTCAGCAGTCACCCCGACCTCAGTGTGTAATGGACACTGTCAGACAGGGGTCGCCTGCTCACATGCCAGAGCCTCCTGCACGCTGGCCTGGCGGCATGTGGACAAGGCCAAATCGTCTTTGTAAAGAGGCTTCGAGGAAGTGTGCTGTATTTAATACCCTTATTTAAGCTCATTTAACCTGAAGCAGTTAATTTTATGGACACGGTGTGGCCCGCACCCTGAGAGGGTGTGCGGGAGGCCGCCAGCTCCAAGCACTGGGCTCACTGGCCGGACGGAGACCAGGCTGCAGGCTAACCACCAGGGGCTGCTAGAGACGACCTTTGTATTGCTTTCTCATTTTTAATGGTTCCTTTTGAGATGAACATCCATTTTGCTTCTTTAATAAATGTTTGAAAGAGTCCACACACAAAAAAATTATATAGCCATATTAGAATGTTGTAACCTGTCTTTTTTTTGGACAGAATATTGAATTTCTGACTGTTTACTTCTATAAAGTGGATACATTCTTATAAATCAGTGATTCTCAACCTTCCTAATGCCGCAACCCTTTATACAGTTCCTCATGTTGTGGTGACCCCCAACCATAAAATTATTTTCGTTGCTACTTCATAACTGTAATTTTGCTACTGTTATGAATTGTAATGTACATATCTAAAATGCTATATGTGTTTTCTGATGGTCACGACCCACAGGTTGAGAACCACTGAAATCAAAGGGAAATCAAATGCTGTAAACCTCAACCGCAGCCATGCTTCTTCCACTCTAACTCTCGAGAAAGCAACTCTCGTTTAGCATTTCTGTTATATTTATTTCTGAACTGAAGTCAACAGTTACTGCAGGTCAGCAATGTATTGAAGAGCAGTTTAGAATGCGTTTGGGGTCTTACTGTAATGTGCGGGCTGCGGAAGTGGGGGCAACAGACCACCCCAGCCCACTGGACGCACCTGTTGCTCTGGCTGGGTCATAAACTCATGAGGCTGCAAGAGCCAGCTGAGGGCAGCGATGTGCACATGCTTTGTGGCCCCGCTCACACTGGGAATCCGCCTCCCCAGCCCAGTCAACACCAATGGAAGCTGAAAGGGAAAAACTAGTATTTCAAGTGAAGCGAACAGAAAACGTTCTCTGGGAAAGATGGCCATAATGGTGAGGGACTGTGGGAGCCATGAGGAAAGGCAAAGGGACTCGTGTAGCCAAGACTGGAAAATGCTGGCAGAGGGGTACCTGAAAGCCAGCTATTGGAAAGGCTCAGACAGACCAGCTCCTCTTGCAGCTGCAGATGGCAGCTCTGAAACCAGCAGGTGGTGGCCACAGAGGCACTTTCCTAGTCTCTGCAATACAGCAAGACTCCAGGGGTTGAGATCTGGGGGTTGAGAACTGGGGGGTTGAGGCCGGGGGGTTGAGATTTGGGGGTTGGAATCTGAGGTTGATGCTTAACACTTGCTTGGACAGGGTTACTGAGGCTAATTTATTTGCAGGAGCAAATGGTGCCTGAATCTTGACAGTGTTCAGTGATCTGGGGGTTGTACTTGGGGGTTGAG